AGAAGGTTAGGTAACTCGATGCGCAGACATAATGGTTTATGCAAAAAAATGTGGGTTTATCGTCACGTGTGAATTGTATTTTCGCTAGAGCAACCAATAGCTATGTTTTCATTTAACCATTGTGTAATATCACGACTGGGTAATTAACCACCACACTGCCATTGTAGCCTCCTCCGCAGGCATCTCTTAATCGTCGAGAACTTATATAATTTAGTTATTCAATTGACTGATGTTCTGATTGGGTTCCTGTGCACTGAGAAACTGCCATGGCCCATTGGTTGGTTGAGCGAAAAAAACAATACACGCGTGACGATGAACCGACCATTTCTGCCATAAACCAAGACGAAAATATAGATAATGAGGTCTATTATGTCTCCATCGAGTTTCCTAACCTTATTCTATTGCATGACTATGGTCTGATCAATAAGTCCCCAGGCTCTGTTTATTAATTTTGCGCCCTCTGCAATGACCCCTCCCCCCTGAACATGCCTGAAATAATTTACTTACGTAGTTTGAAGTCAGTATATAGTGTAGATGACGCCATTTTTAATTGCATGCGCAGTAATTTGTCGGTCATTCTGATGAGCAAACTCAGTGAAATTTCATTAAACCCGTAGCTAGACCAATGTTTTTGCTTAGCGCACTATAATTACGGCCGCTTTATTTATATGAATATACAGTTTTGTGTAATAATGAGGACAGGTGTGTGTACTTTTTGGCCTATTTTTCTGCTGAGAAAGATATACAAATATATCTAAGGAAAGTACAATATAGCAGAATACATGCATGTAATATATGTACGTACAATGTAATACTTTGGCCGTTTGGAGAAATTCAGTGATAGTGTATACCAGATGAATCTGTATATAACAATCCACGTGGTTTTCTTATGCATTGTAAATACTTTGTTCACATTTTTTGGAATACTTCTTAATTCTATGGTTATCGTCAGTTTTTGGACGTCTCCTCAACTTCGAAAGAAAACATGTTACTTCATGGTTCTTGTTCTGGCTTACTGCGACCTTGCTATGTCAAGTATCAGTCATCCACTGCTCACAATTCATACTGTCATGTGGTATCGGGGAGGACCAAACACACTCTTTGATACGCAGATTTTTCCTTACATTCGTTTACCTTTATATTCAAATTCAGCCATTGCATTATTATGGATGAATGTGGAGCGTTACCTTGCTTTGGCGTTTCCCTTTTTTCACGCGAGATCTGTGACGAAGCTCAAAATATTAACTGCTGTTTTACTAACTCAGTTACTTTTTGTTCTGTTGATTATTTTGGGTCTTGTGCAAGAAAATAAAACCTATATCTCCATTTTTATTTTACTTTCGTTTGCATTACTCTTGGTTTTAATGTTGCTTACGAATTATAAGATATTAAAGATAGCTAAAACAATAAAACGAAACGAGATAGTTCCTGCTTGCGCGTCCAGCAATCGTGCGTTGAGAAACAAAATAAAGAACACATCAACATGTATACTGGCTGTGGGATGTCTATTTCTATTTTCTTTACCAACATTTATTTTCACTGGATTATCAGTATCCTCATTGTTTACGAATTTCAGTGAAGACGTGTATACATCATTCAATCTCTGGGAAAGCAGTCTTGTTACAACTAATGCAACATTTAATTGCCTAATTTTCTTCTGGAAGAATAATACATTACGTAACGAGGGCAAGAGAGTTGTAAAACGTTGTTTGTGCTTTTCTTCATGATCCTAGGACCATATTGATGGATAATCTTCAGTTTTAATGGAAATCGTGACTGTTGCCTGGATACAGGCACCACTATTTGATTATGCGTTTTCTGTTTCCGTGCGATATATATAGATTATACATGGTCTACTGCGAAATAACGCGTGACGGTAATTGCGAGAATAAAGGTCCATACAGACCGGTGTCCCAGGATTTTCGCCCCCCCCCCCTACATTTTCGCTCCCCAGGGGGCGAAATTCCTAGGAATATCGCCCCCCCCCCCAGGGGGGCGAAAATCCTAGGAATTTCGCCCCCCTTTAGGAAATTCGCCCCCCTTTACAAACTTCACCTTTTCTTTAGGATTTTCGTCCTCCGTTCAATATTTCGCCCTTCCTAACAGTTGCATGGGATAATTATTACATGGCTTTAATCATTTGAAATCAGTATCAATTCAAAATTGTTAAGACAGAGCTTGAAATAACAACCGATCACCGATCGGCAAGGAATTGCTTATGATCGGCAAAAGCAGGGTTTCGGTTTCCAACCTGAAAAAAGCAGGGAAAGTCATGACTGCCGATCACCATGATCGGGAACTTTGGGAACGTTTATTATTTCAAGCCCTGCATGTAAGAATACAAATTTACAATTACATGTATCGAAAGGGCTTACACAGTTACAGTAGATCAATAGGACTTATGACGCTTCACAGCACACCATGCATATTTTGCATTTTCAGTGTTAATCCTTAAATCAGTGTTAAAAAGCAATCACCGTGGTGGTTATTGTAATTATTGGTATTGTTTTGCATCCACGTTTTGTCGTTATTGGAAATTGTGTGGCTTATAAGTTGTCACTATTTTTTACTTGCATTATTTCAATATAGTTTGTAAATCTCAGAAACGAAGGGTAGAAGTTGCCAATAGGCAATACTCCAATCAGGGATGCCGGAAGTTGCTGGGGGCAAGGGGTGCAATTGGTTAACAAGAGGGCATATTCCTTAACAAAAGGGCACTAATGAAAATGAAAGGGCATCTAAAAATTATTTTTGGCGACCTCCCCCCCCCCACCAAATTTTTTGGTCAGTGAAAACTTCCTTTTACGGAAATGCAATGGATACAATCAAAAATTTAAACCTAAATGAAGAAATCCCTAATCTGGAAGCCGTAACGTCTGAACATATTGAAGCTATTACCAAAACCCTTGAGGAAAAATACTTGACATTCTGGAAACATAAACTTGAAAATTCATCCAAATTAACTTTCTATTCAACATTCAAAACGGACCACAACCTTGAAAAATACTTAATACTTATAAAAGACCCATACAAGAGAAAATGTCTTTCACGTTTTAGAGTTAAGCAGCCATAACCTCCAAATTGAGATCAGGCGATACCAAAATACACCCCGAGAAGAACGCTTATGTGAAATCTGTAATTCAGGAGAGGTGGAAAACGAAACCCATTTCCTACTCTTTTGCAAAGCCTATGAGCATTCTCGTGAAGACCTCCGAAGTTCTTTAGAGAATGCCTCATCTAACGAGATTAAACTGAACTCTCAAACTCTATCAGCTGACTTAATGAAGTCAACTGATAGTGAAATCATAACTAAACTGTCAAAATTTGTTTATTCATGTTTTGAACAAAGGCTTAAATACCTTGAAACCAGGAGTGCTAGTTAGCATAGGTTGTAATAACCACCTTATTTGTAAATATTATACTTGTCTACATTCTTTCTTCTTATTCTTATTAACGTTAATGTTATGTTAGTCTATTAAGTATTATTGCACAGTCATATACTAATTTGTAAATTGTATAATCCTAGTTTACCATAGTTCTCTATATATTGTTATAACTTTTATACGCTTTAGCAATACTGTACATTTATAGTCATGCTAATAAAGCTATTATTTACCTTACCTTACCAGTGTACCATTTTAGATGTAAAAAAAATTTTCCGGACATACCACAATTTTTCCTAAATACGAAAAAAATTTTCCGGACATACCGAAAATTTTTCCGGAAAATGTTATTTTTTCCGGAAATTAAAGCATTTTTCCGGAAATAACATAGATTGAATTTTTCAAAAATGCCCTTTGCGCAAAAAATGCAATTTTTAATGAAAATTTTTCACGCAAAAAGGGCACTTTGTGCACCCGTTGCACCCGTATTCTGCACCCGTAGTGCACCCGTAAAGTTGTGAAGACAAAAGGCAACGGGTGCAACTGCACCCGTTGCACCCGTGGTTCCGGCATCCCTGACTCCAATAATATACGTTTCAACTGAAAGACAGAAAAGCTTTTAGTTTTGCAGAGTTACATTCTCAAATGTTTAAGGCACTAATAAAATCAAAGTATCATGAAATTATTTGAATAAACCACACCACATATATAATGCAATTTTCTTTGCGGAAGTCAAGAATCAAGATTACATCACTACACTGACATGGAAAGTTGATGATTCAACGGACAATAGTCAATACGCTTCCCAACACATTCCATAGATTTTTTATTAATCCTATATTTTATTGTTAGCAAGTGATTACTATGGCGGCTATTGTTAACACTGGTATTGATAAAATTTGCAAGCGATTGTTTTTATAATATGTTATGTGAATGTAAACTGCCAGAAGAATACGACAACATGATTTTATGCGATCTCTGTGGGCAATGGTTCCACTTTAGATGTGTAGAATATGACACTATTCTAACTACCTCAAATGAGTGGTTATGCAGACTGTGCAGTGTGCACACCACCAGCTGCTAAGAAGCCTAAAATGTATATGTAATTTTGTCTCCTTGTAATAAATAAATAAATCACACAATAAATCTTTTCAACTTGCAATCGTTTTGTTTTTAGATCAAAAATTCAAAATTTATATGGGGCGAAATTCCTAAAGGGGGGCGATATTCCTAGGAGATTCGCCCCGGGGGGGGAGGGCGAATATCCTAGGAATATCGCTCCCCTTTTGAGAGGGGGGAGAATCTCCTGGGGGGGGGGCGAATCTCCTGTGACACCGGACGCGATTTGGCAACGCGACGCGAATTTTCAATTTTCAATGACATTTAACTTTAATATTTTGCTATGCTTAAGCAATTTTAAATATTTAAGCAATTTTAGCTATTTGGTCTGTATATCTTGTAAATTTTTTATTGGTTGACGGTTTTATTTGTTTTTAAAAACTGAAAATTCGCGTCGCGTTGCCGAATCGCGTCCGGTCTGTATGGGCCTTGAACATACAAACAGTGATGAAAACAAAATGGCGCCACCTAAACCGGCTCTCTAATTTAATTAACTTTCTAAACTCGAACGCCTTCAATGCTCAACTATCTCGAAACAGAAACATGTTGTGTAAAGTAGAATTATTCTAGTAAGCAGTTAGTTGTTACTGGACTGAAAAAGTGCAGTTTGAATATTTACTCTTCGATCATACAATAAGTAATGTCAGTAATTGTAATCCCCGCTGCTTCTTATTTGAATGCAAGATATGTATACACGTTCAATTAACATTCACGCATTTTATTAATTGGCAGCGTCGATCTTTCGTAATGAAAAAGGGCTTTAGTGTATGTACCTTAAAAGGCTTTGAGCTATTTTTTGAGAACACATGCAGATGACTTATTATAAATTGATCAGATTTTCAAGTATAAACAGGACCTTATTTATTGATCATGACGGCCTGTTTGAAGCAATCCAACATTCTTGGATGGAAAGCAGGGACGTCGCTACAGGGCGGTGGGTCGGGGTGTGTGCGTGGGGATGTAACACCCCCCAATAATTCAAAACGTTGGTCAAAACATGACCTGAACCCCCCCCCCCCATGTATACTAGTCTTCACGACGTCCCTGACTCCCTGATGGAAAGTCTGAAATGAAGTCAAACATAATCCATGCAACATCAGTTAGAGTTACTCAAATACACCCAAATTACTTATACTATATGCTTTTACTACAAGATGACGATATGGTGACTGAAAAAGTGGAGTATACCTAATTTATATAACATTGTGTCTTGGATGAAGAACACAGTCTATTGCGTGTTTATGGATGGAAAGTGTGATTTAAATTTATTATTCACCCATTTTGCACTGGCATCACATGAACTTGAGTTTAGAGCTTGGAAACTGGCCTTTATATAGCTCTGTTGGTTAGAGCGCTACACTGGAATCGCAGGACCGCAGGTTGGATTCCTGCCAGGGGGGGGGGTCTATAGTTGTATTTTCTCCTGGTTAGGTCTAATAAATATATAAAATTCACACTCAAAATGTCCAACTACAAAATCCTTCTACATTATAGTTCTATCAAGTGTAGATGCCCCAAATCCTGATTATCACGTGTTTACCTTGTTGGCCACAATGAACGCTGGGTTATCCAGCTTGTTTTGATTCTTATCGCTTGTTTTTGGAACCACGGTATTTTTTTCGGTGTATTTCTTGTTCTTTGGTGTGATCTTGAAAATAAACAAATTGAAAGCAACAGTAAATCTTCATGATTGATGTGTATAAGAAACCATCCCAGAAAAAGTTAGAAAGAGAAAGTTTTCGATGCAGAAGGACTTTGGAAGAATCCCGAAGTTGAAATTAAGATAGAGACAAAGGCGTAGCCAGGGTGGGGGCCGGGGGACCCGCCCCGCATCTGGTAAAATGTTGCCCCTGAGAAAATTCATTCAAGTGAAGCCTGGCTCACCTAGGTTTTTGCTGCCCCCCCCCCCTCCCCCCGCCAAAAATCCTGGCTCACCGCCTCTGAATAGAGACGTTGAGACATTTTCTAAATAATGAATCACATGCAAACATTGATCACTTTTCTTAAGCAAGCCAATCACAATATTGACTTTTGGTTGGTATTTACCCGGTCATTTTGTAAGAACTTTTACCTGGTTCAAAATGGAAGTAATTGGATACACGCATTTATGGCAAGAAACTGGAAAATTTTTAAAGACATGATGCATTTACCTCAACAGTGTGTGTTTGTCGCAGAAGAAGATGTGCAGTTGTCTCAAAGATAAAGAATCCATAAATTCCACCGACTACAGAAAAAAACTTCCAGTAGTAATCTTTATTTTTTCCCTGAAAACCAGTTGCCTGAAATAAGAGTGGACTTGTGATTACATTTTTGTCAAATATACATAACTATTCTTGAAAAGAGTGGACAAAAGGCTTAAACAGCATGATATGGATAATATGATAACATTTTTTTGAACATATGCATGTCAGCGTTTCAAACAACACGATTGCAAATTTTTGCTTCGTTCAGTAATTGTTGGTTTTGGGTGGTTAAATCTACCTATATTATTTCGCTGCATTTCAAAGTTTTACCCTCTTCTAACGTCATAATTCTGATCATGTAGCAATGCAGGCTGAAAGTGTAACTTTCATTGAGCCGCCGCAGTATCATGCACCAAATGGTCATCAATCGATAGTTGTAAGAGTGAGAAAATAATGTTAATGTTCCTTTCTTTATATATATATAGTAATCTTGAATTTGGTACAGGTTATGTGTAAATAAAATTGCGAGAATTTCAGTCTAATTCTTCTTATATGTAGCTAGGTTTCCATATGGTCGTAACAGTCGTAAAGATAGAGTTACGATCTTTCTCAACGGCCAGATTATAATAGTTTTATAAATCATAAGTATTCTCTATTTATAATCACTCTGCCTATTTTCAGTTCTTGAGAAAGATCGTGACTCAGTCTTCACGACCGTTACGACCATCTGGAAACCAGGATTATGTTTTAACAATCAATCTCTGAAGTTCATCGCGATCTGCTGTCTAATATAACATTTACAGTCAAACCCACCAATAGATATAGGCAAAACAAGACCTTTCAAACCTACCCGAGGCAAGAGATAAAACATTGAATCTCCAACCAAAGTACCGATAGCCAGAGCAATAAGAAACACGAGAGATTTCTTGTAGAATTTTGTTTTCAACAGCGGTAAGATCATGAATAACGATATAAGACTAACTGCAGAAACTGCGGCTAGACCAAAACCCCATACTAGAAATACGGAAATATTCTGATATTGAAAACTGATCAATCATGGTAAATCCACAAATTACCTCCTTACAAATTCAGGAAATCGAAACTTCAATTTAGTCGATTCCCTGCCAGAGATTTCCTGTCATGCATGCATGTCGTTTTTTGCAAGAAATTCAATATTCAATTTATAGCCACTCCAAAATTTCTACTAATAAATAACCTTTACTGAATCGTAAGCTAGTCAATATATATGGTCCAAGGTCCCAATGACGAGATAGCGATTCGCCACCGGTATCTGTATCGCCATTGAAATAACAATTCAGGTATTGGAAACGCTATATAAACACGGCTAACTGACAGTTCTATTTAATTTGATTGAAACTAGAAGAATATTTCAGATGGGGACGTTGGCGGAACACTGTAGGTCATTGCTGCTGGCTTCTGACTGCGGACGCTACGATCACTCGACCGTGCAGAGTTCGATTCCCACCTATAATTATGCAGTTGTCTGATCGGAATGTGGCCTCAGTCACATGTGAGAAGAGTGCTTCTTGTTTGACTATACTTCGTGGTATGCCACTGTTTCCTCCTGCAGCTAGTAACACTTGACTAGTAAATTATGGGGCTTCGGTGGCCATGGGGCTTCGGTGGCGAAGTGGTTAGCGCACTTGCCTTTCACCTCTAAGGTCGCAGGTTCAAATCTCAATGAGAATTTCTCAATGTGACTCGAACCCAGTCCTCATGTGAAAAGAGTAAAAGTCAACGCTCTGCCGAAGGTCGTGGGTTTTCTCCGGGTACTTCGGTTTCCTCCACAGGGAAAGTTGACAGAGTGGGTTAGGCACATAAGTTAGGGGGAAGATCGTTAATGAGGTATGGACTAATAGCGGCTGCTTAAAGCGCCATTTGTAAGCTCACAGTCTACCTCGGTCTGCGTCACGCCAGTTTCGGCTGTAATTGTAATGCGCACTTGATCATATACATATGTAAAATCGCGCAATAGAAATATTAAATATTGTTGTTGTTGTTGTTGTTGTTGTTGTTGTTGTTGTTGTTGTTGTTGTTGTTGTTGTTGTTGTTGTTGTTGTTGTTGTTGTTGTTGTTGTTGTTGTTGTTGTTGTTGTTGTTAACTGCATGAAAAATACAGAAATGATTCCAAAAACATTCACCTGCCATGTCTGGTACTTTCTTCATCTCATTATCATCTTCATCTACATCTTTGTGATTATATTTGCAAACATTGCTCTCTATTTGATCAAGAAGAGCTATTGACAAACTTTCAAATCTTTTCATTTTGCACCCATCATTTTCACCAACATGATAGATCGAGAAAAGTTCATCCGCTGAATAACACTGAAAAGAAACTTCATTAGGATATGAAAAATTTAGTTGAAGAATATTAATAAATAATCTCATTAAAGCTTCTTTGATATTGGCAGGGCCGTTCTCAGGAAATTCTTCAGGGGGGGGGGGTAAGTTCATTAACTTCATTTCAACCGACTGATGAACGAGCTTGTACCGACCACATGCTAGCCATGGAAGCTTGTAAAATGTCCGGTGGAGGTAAACTAAATTCAGGGACCGCGGCGGAGCCATTTTTTTCTTACGGGGGCTATAACGAACGCCGAAGGCGTTAGTTTTTAGGGGGCTCCAGAGGTCCCCGAAAAATTTTAAAATCTGAGACCTCTCAGAGCCCTGGAAATGCAATGTTATGGCCTGGAAATGCAATGAAATGCAAAGCCCTGTTAAGAAGTTTCTTAATAGTACGACTCTTAATCTAATATTACCCGTCATTTGTTTAATCCAAACAGAAATAGATTAAATACTTGGCTATATAAGTTTAGCCCGCGTGCAGGCCCAAGGAACTGATATATCAGTTCCCTTGGGCCTGCACGCGGGCTAATATAAGTTATATATTTATTGTTAACTGATCTGATCATGAAAGATTTCAGTATTCTTAGTTTATACAAATAACATATGTATGGAAAATTATTGGGAGGTGGCTGCTCCGCGGTCCCTGAAATTCATTTAAGATCTTTTGTATCGCTGTTTGGTTTAACTTTCAATCTGGGCTTGTTTTACTATAACGGATTATAATGATTATCCTGTTGAGTAAATTTCGAGAAACCAAAATTTCCGTTTCTTATATAACCGGTAAAAATCATATCGATAGTAGTTTTATTCGTCAAAAATATTTTTGTCTGCCGACTAAAATAGCAGTCCTGCCGACTGAAGTTCCGAATACAATTTCTGGGGGTGTCACCCCCCCTAGCTCTGGGCCTATTCTCGTACCAAGAGTATGCCCGTTCGCACTTAACCTCCGGGACTGGATATTAGGCAATTCCAGTAGTGCAGTCCTGGGGATCTCAAAAAGGAACGAGGTGACATGGCGTGGGGCTGACAAAATGATAAACTTGGAAAGTTCCAATCTTTATTAATAATGTTTTTAAAAGGATGTAACTGAAATGAATTATTCTGACAATCCCAACAGCACTCTACCTTGTGAAGGCTAATAATAGACATAGCGAAGCTATTTCATGTTTGGATTACGGTGATGAAGTATAAATCGAGACTGCTAAAATACCATTCCCGTTAAGAATAACTGAAATTTTAAAAGAATTTAACACTATGCAATTAATCCGCAACAATTTAGCGGATTCAAGCTCTTCCACTACACCACAATGTACACTATCGTGGGGCCGCTTAAGGGCCTTTTTTAAGGATTTTCCCGTGGGGGGGGGTGCATTTTTTGAAAAGGGACCTTTATGTGAGATAATATAGGGGGATAGGCAATGGATGAAGGCCATGTGTGTGGCCGACATACCACGCATGTATAGGGGGATCTGGGGGTATACTCCCCCAGAAAATTTTTGAAATTTGAAACCCGGAAATGCGATTTCCTGCATTCTGAGCATCCAAATTTGCTCCAAAATTTATGCTAACTGTACTTGTATTTGAAATAAAAGAAGGAAAAAACGCACAAAAAGTAAAAAAATATTAACCGTAATTTATCGTTACTTATTAGAGGGGGATAGAAATGGCCATAGGCCACGTGTGTGGGGACATACTCCCCAGAAAATGTTTGAAATTTGAAACCCGGAAATGCTATAGACGCATTGCACATGACGTCACAGCGCCAGTGATGATCCATCTGGAGGACAAATGAGCAATCTATGCATAATATAACTCTTGTAAACAAAACAAATTTTATAAAAGTGTATAATAATTTTGTATTAAAATGGTTAATTTTTGCGCTGTATGTGGTTGTTGTACCCAAACAAATATTAAATTGTTAGGGAGCATCTGGAGGACACTCTAAGGATTTGTGACGTCAGTGCAATGGGTCTATTTCCTGCATTCTGAGCATCCAAATTTGCTCTAAAATCTATGCTACTATACTTGTATTTGAAATAAAAGAAGGAAAAGCAGAACTTTGACAGACTCTTTTCATATGAAGCCACAATCTCAGAGGTGAAAGGCGCTTCCTTTGAAGACTGCATCACCGATACCTCTTATAGCAGTAGCACGCCTAACTCAGTGACAGTGGCAACGCACTAACTGCCACAAATACTTCCCAATCATTCTCAACATTGTATTATCCTTCACATACCTTTTCGTAAATACTGCCTTCTGCAACTTGGCTACCATCTTGTTGTCGCTTTTGTCTAAGTAGAGAAGACATCTTTGAAATGCGGTAGGAAGAACGTTTAACTATTTGTCTCTTTCTACGAGCAAGTTTATCTGCTGGCTCTGATGTGTTGGCTTTGGTATCACTCTCATTTGTGCCTTGTCTTCCAATCTTCAAGTTTTCCATCAATTTCTCCATATTTTCTTTGTAAAGAACATTATTTTTGGCATATTCCTCAAACAAGTGTTTGACAAAGTAGGAAGGACAGGGTAGACGATTTTCGTAGTTCACTTGAATACATTGTAGTTGAAGTAGCTTTGAGATAATGCTCATGCTTAACTGCGGAATCATGCCTTTGTCAACATCAGCTTCAACTGAAATATTTAGTTCTTGTAAGAGCTCATTGGCAGAGAAACACTAAAATAGAAAATGGTAATTTTGGTGACAGAATGTCTTCCACCACTCTAATTTATTCTTTATTTACCTTTCTGGCAGGGGCTCGAGTCTGTATATTATGCAGTTTCCTCGCATCAAATGTTTTCCGTATAGCCATCGGGGGATACCCCCAAATATTTGTTCATGAGTAATTTGAGGTAACTTTAATTAATATAAAGGTGTCTTGAGCTGATTTCAGGTAAATAATAAGAGCACTGACAGGCAAACATGGAAGTTGAAAGTGGACGCGCGCGCAAGCTAAGAATAATACCTGAGCTTTCTAAGAGTTTAAATATTCAAAATTTTCGATAACTTTTAGGTAACGCAAAACGTAATTAAAAAACCAGGTAATTTGACCCCCCCTCCCCCCCTCCTTGCCCTCAACAAAGTCTTCGTAACGTTCCTGGACCCATATGAAACGATTGCTTGGCCACAGGGTTCTCGTATTTCACTTTGCTGCAAAGCTGCAATATAATCAATAAAGACATTAATATACTTACTTTCACTAAGGGAAAAAAATGGGACTGATATATCTCCAGTAGAACTAAAGTTATTTTAGTTTTTGTAGAGTAATTTTAGCAGATTTTACCTCATGTTTCTCGAGGTGATTTCCAATTGACTGATTCAAATCATTTAATACTTGATCCAAGATTTGTTCGCATATTCCGTTCGTGGAATACATTTTTCTCAGTTCTTCGTACACATCAACATTCTTTGTCAGTGTTCTTGGTGAGTTAGATCGCACTGGAAGTAGTACGTAAAGTATCGTTGTGGACATCTGAGAGAATTCAGTTTTGCTGATGAAATTACTTTCCTTGATATTGTAAAATTTGAACAATGATCTCGCTGTGATACACTATAAATAGAAGATAAGGGACCGGTCATTATTTATGGTGGGAGGTGGCACCGAAGAGAAATGTTTTTCGTAGCAAAAATTTTGCTGACCCAATCATTAAAAAGTCAAAAATTTGATTACCCAACCTCAAATATCAAGCAAAAAATAAATACCCACCCCTGGCCAAAATTAAACTTTACAAAAGATTACCATTCAGTTGTCACATATGTCCTTTACCCGATTTCTGTGACACTGAAGAGCTTGATAACTGCTTGTGAAATTTGCTGCAGTCTAATGTATCATGTTGTCTGCACATGTGCTTTCTTTGAAGACACCATTTGTCTTCTAACAAATTGGAAAATGATCAAGACAGTGACTGATTGATTCACATATTGTATTGACATATGACTATAACTTTTTATTACCCAACCCTTGAGTTGTTTTGGTTTTTCATTTACCCAACCTTTTACTTACTCAAAATTTAGTTTACCCAACCATTTTCTCTTCGGTGCCACCCCCCGCCATAAATAATGACCGGTCCCTAATTATAAGTGTTTGAAAAGTGTAGTAAAGTTTGTGGAATTTTTCATGACGATTCGCCCAGTCATGTCTAGTCATACGTCCCTGATCTATTCCAAATCGTCGTTGACAGACTTTAAAATTTTCTTGGAATGTATTCTTCACTGAAGTATGGGAACCCTGCCCCACCTGGGCAAACTAGATGGACTTGTTTCTACCCCCTACGGAAGATTCCGGTGGTTGCGCCTGCCCTTTGGTTTAAACGTGTCCAGCGAGATTTTCCAGAAACGACTCAACCAAGAGCTCCTGGGATTGGAAGGAGTGAGGTGTATCGCAGATGACATCCTTGTCTATGGTACCGACGAAAAAGACCACGACAAGAACTTCGAGAGGCTACTGGAACGGTGTAAAGAAAAGAGCATTAAGTTGACCAAGGACAAATTGGAGTTCAAGTGTAAAGAGGTTTCATTCCATGGTCATCTTCTCACCAATGAAGGTTTGAAAGTCGACCAAGGTAAAGTGAAGGCGATTATGCAGATGCCACGACCCACCACTCCTGAAGAAATCTTACGTTTGAACGGAATGGTGAATTACCTAAGTCGTTTCCTACCAAACCTGTCGGAGGTTATGAAGCCTTTGCGTGATCTAACACACAAAATACATGAGAAAGCATGGAATGAACTGAAGCATTTAATCGCAACGACCCCAGTCATCGCGTACTATAAGCCATCAGAAAGTCTTGAGATCCAATGCGATAGCAGTCAGACTGGTTTGGGAGTGGCTCTAATGCAGAATGGTCATCCGATTGCATATGCCAGCCGAACACTATCTGAGACAGAAACAAGATATGCTCAGATAGAGAAGGAAATGTTGGCCATCGTTTATGCGGTCGAGAAATTTAACGACTACACGTTTGGCAGAAAATTACCGTCTACAGTGATCATAAACCTCTAGAAAGTATTTTGAAGAAACCTCTTCACCGAGCACCCAAGAGACTGCAGGGTATGATGATCCGTCTCCAGAAGTATGACATCGAAGTGAAGTATGAGAAAGGAAGCAACATGTTCCTTGCCGATACGTTGTCCAGAGCGAGCATTCTCGGTGATGGGAAAAGTGGTCCAGAGTTCGAGACTATCAACATGATGAAGTACCTGCCAATTTCCGACGAACGATTAAAGGAAATACAACGAGAAACAAAAAGCGACGAGTCCCTCCAAGTCTTGACGACGGTGATTCGGCAAGGGTGGCCAGAGCAAAAAGAAGATCTGCCAAATGTTGTGACACCCTACTTCAACATCCGAGACGAGATGTCGATCCAAGATAGTCTAGTATTCAGAGGAGAAAAAGTGCTTATTTCGCAAGCAATTAGAAGCAAGATGCTGGGAAAACTCTACAACTCCCACCTGGGAATAAATGGTTGCCTTAATCGAGCTCGAGAGTCCCTTTACTGGCCCGGTATGTCCAACGATATCAAGAATCATGTGTCAACCTGCGAAGCCTGTCGTGAGTATGAGAGAAGTCAGCCAAAGGAAACTTTATGTAGTCATGAAGTGCCAAGTCGACCCTGGCAACGTGTAGGAATAGACTTATTTGAACTAGAGAGAAAACACTATCTAGTTACCGCTGACTATTTTAGTGATTTCTTTGAGCTGGATCACTTGAAGACTATTTCCTCAGTACACGTCATTAGGAAAATCAAGAGTCATTTCGCGAGACACGGCATACCCGAGCAGGTGATAACGGACAATGGCCCGCAGTTCGTGGCACACGATTTCCAGATATTTACTAAGGAATGGGACTTCGAGCACATCACCTGTAGTCCATACCACAGTCAAGCAAATGGTAAAGCCGAAAGCGCTGTAAAAGAAGCTAAGAAAATCCTAAGAAAGTCGAAGAAAGCAAAGTCAGACGCGTTTTTGGCGGTTCTTGACCATCGAAATACTCCCTCCGCGAGCATGAAGAGCAGTCCAGCCCAGCGTCTGTTGAATAGGCGGGCGAGAACCTTGTTGCCAACAACAGCGAAGCTGCTGCAACCACAATCCATTGACAGCGCTACCACGGTAAAGAAACTAGCGGAACGGAAAAGACAACAAGCCAAATATTACAACAGGGGAGCTGTCGAATTGAACCCTTTGGATGAAGAAGATGTGGTTAGGATAAAGCCGTTTCGTTTGGGAAGAAAAGAGTGGGAGAAAGGTGTGGTGCGAAAACGTCTAGATCAGAGATCGTATGAGATAGAGACGCTACATGGTATACTGAGAAGGAATAGAGTGCAACTAAGAAAAACAAACGAAGCATCTCCAGACATCGAGCAGAGATCAGCCATGGATAACTCGACATCGCTAGACATGGGCGGCTCTGGAGAACAAATGAGCCCTTCTAAAGAAATGGGCAGTAATGAAGCAAGAACAGAAATGACATGTTTACCGGCTGCAGAAGATAACGGTGCTGTACGAAGATCTGGAAGAGCACGGAAACCTCCGAGCTACCTAAAGGACTTTGTACTGAAATAGGGTCGTGATTACACTGAAGTGTAATGCCACGAACACGAATTACTCATATCGTACATTTATTTAATTTTAACTATTAATCGTAGTTCATATAGTCCTAAATTTAGTTATCGTATTTCAGTACGGACACGGACATTTATTATTTATAATTATATATTTTAATTTATTGTTTTATTATTAGATCCCAAGTACTCAGTTTCAAAAAGGGAAAGATGTTATAATAGTCATTAGGACGTTATTATAATGTTAATTAGTTAGGTACCTATATAATGGCATGTATAATTTGTTGACGAGTCAGTTGTAATACATGTGTTGATCAAGCTAAGTTTATGCTGTTATAACAACTTGAGGCAGATCAATGTATTCGAGCTTATCATGTCCCATAAAGGCATAAGTTACATTTAAGAGGAGTCTTTTTTGTATGTTACGTAACACGCGCTCAAAATTAATGCGTATAACATATCGCTTGAGGTTAGGCCAAATAAAAAAATACTTGGTTAGCGTCACCGCCCGCCTCTCGATTTCTGCCGCCTCTGAATTTTTTTTTATTTTTTGACTACATTCAAAATTTTTATTTTTTGATACGTTTCTCAATCGGCAAACAAACTTAAAAAGTATATTTAGTGTTTTATCTGTAAAATAATGCCAAAATGAAGAGATTTTGGATGATACGCTAAGAGAAAATGGTGTCTGAAGTTCAGTAAGTTTTGCTTATATAGCTTTAAATATGGCGTCAATTTTAAAGCATCATTGATATTTGTATTTTAATTGACAATTTTTAACTATTATTTTATGTTTCTCAACCGGCAGATGCATTTAAAAAGGTAGCTAACTCTATAAACTAGAGAATAAAGCTAAAACAAAGTAATTTTGAGAGGAACGCCAAAAAGACTTTAATATAATCAAGTAAAGAGAACTAACTATAATTAAGTCAACAACGTTCTAAAAGGACAGTTCCGGAATACTATGCTTAAATTGGCGGAGCGAAGTCGCTCCGCTTTTTGCATCTAATGAAAGATTATTCCACAGCATTGTTGCACTATATTTAATTAGATTTTGGTTTTTGAAATGCTAGATCCGTTTCCTGATTTCGTAAATTATGGCCTCTAATATATTCTCTAAGGTTTACAAGGCTTTTTCTTAAACATGGCAAACAATTTTCATCAAGGACTTGATACATTAGGATACTCTTCAACTTAGCCCACCTAATGTAGACTATCCCATCCTATACCTTTCCAAAATATCACTTGATTCAATCCTATCATCATATCTTGCTCCCGTGATAACTCTAGCCGCACTTTGTATTTGCAATTTGTCTTTTAATATTTTATTACATGTATCCTACAGGGGAGAGCAATGATCAAAATATGGCTGAATTAATGATTTGTATATAATGTAACAGGAGAACTCCGGGGAACAAATTAAATGGTTTAATTCTCCTCAATGCTCCTATGCATGCCCAGGGACCGCGGAGGTATTTTTTGATTGGGGGGAGGGGGCTAGCGAACGCCGAAGGTGTGGGCCTTCTGGGGTGTCCAGGGACATGCTCCCCCGGGAAATTTTGAAATCTGAGACATCTAAAACCGGCTAGTTTCTCTTAAAAAGTTTCTTGAACGACTTTTAAGCAAGCCATTATATAAGGGTAAAATTTATTCACTTAGACCTTAGTGCATTTTCCTTAATAGATTATTTTCTTCGAACTTAGCTTATTCAAGCGTAATTTAAATTGCATTTTTCATACTTATCGTCTCTACCTTTCTTAGAAATGTTTTTTCTGGAATTAACGTGTTCAATAATAAAGGAACACCGAATGGTTTTCGTGCAGGATTGCGTGAGCGTGATCCATGCATGAGGGATGTCGCGAGACTTTCGGAAAGCGTAAAAATACTCGAGCCGCAGGCGAGCAACATCCCAAGTGCATGGATCACGCTATCCTGCTTGGAAAATCATTTGGTAATTGTTTTATAAAATAACTGCAGTGAAACTATGACATTTTGAGAATCCCACGGAGGTATTTTAATTCCTCGTGCAGGATAGCCTGATTCTTCGCGGCTATTAATTGACCAATCAAATTGCGTGTTTCACTGTAGTTTTATATAACCTGCATTCTTTTCGTGAGAATTTTGTTAGAAGATAATTTAGGTTCCAAAGTCAAATCAATCACAAGCAAATAGTAAGTTAGAACGACGCTCAGTAGCAGTTGTAACGCCGACATTTTGTTTCAAAGCGAAACACGCGTATTCACTGTGTCTGAATTAAGTGATATAGGGTTTCAACCGCTAGTTTGAAACCGAGTGTGATACCTTGGATAATGTTAAGCTCCGAATTTTAAATAAAGTGGTCAAATGCGACTAACAACTTTTGACATTATTGCACAGCGTCATGGAGGTTGAGACCTGTTATTTGTAAAAGCTATATGTTTCGCTGGTTGGAAATGGCCTCTATAATTTTGAAACATGCAATTGCAAATCAGACATTTGATATTTTTGGACTACGCAAAGAAAAGTGCTATCTGCGCCAGGGACGCCGGAACGATGTGAAGGCAAGGGGGCTGATTATCGTGAAAGAGCACTTTGGATTGATATATACTAAGAGATGTTTGCAAAACATCGGGAGTTGAACTTCGCCTAATCATGTTTTCTATTTATTGTATGATAGGGGTGTGAGGAGGTTCCCCGCCTGGTGATTGTGCTATTCTTGAAGCTCGATGACTGCATTTCTTGCGTTTTCTGAAGCAAATTCGTAAAAGAATTGCACTAACATTTCTGACAATTCGCTATTTCGCCAAGGCAATCCTTTAAATTGAAAGGGCACATTTTCCCCCTTGCCCCTCCTGCTAAAGGGCAACTGGGGTGGCTGCCCCTTCTGTCTCCCCAGTTACGGCGTCCCTCATGATCAGCGCTATATTAAAATCAGATATGTATGAAAATTATTAAATAATTATTTACAGCGCCCCTGCTCCGAGGTCCCTGATGCCTGAATTCGAACAGATCTTCTTGCATATTTCTTCAATATTGATATCAAAGGTCAACCTGTCATCAAAATCAACTCCTAAACATTTATTCCAGACAACAGATGAAACTACATTATTGTTCATGATAATGCTGCTGTACAAGTCACCAACTTTGTTGGTCACTTTTTGTTTAGATCCTATGACCATAAGCTTAGTCTTAGAAGGATGAAAAATTGGAGTTTATTTACATTTAACCAATCTGTGACATTCTCTAAATCAGAGTTCAACAGAGCCGTTCGAAGAGGCGAAAATTTGGGTATCATCTGCATATAGACAGGGTGTTGTTGTCTTTAGACAGTTCGGTAAATCGTTGATATAAATTAGGAACAACAACGGTATTTGAGGTATTGAACCTTGTGGGAGCCCGCAAATGATTTCACCTTTATTAGAGAGGCAGCCATTTACTTGACACTGTTGTTGCCGATAAGCCG